GTACTACATTATTAGAGATTTTACAACATTTATCATTTGGACACCCATTATTAACATATCTATCCACCTTCTTGTTGTAGCCTTTGCAAATGTAGAACCACAACTTAGCTCTGTTATAAATTAGAGTTATCTTTACCTTAAATGCATAATGGCATGTCTGTATATTGGTAAATTAATGTTAGGTTTAATTGAATGAATTTTAGAGTAGGTTTTTTAAGATCATACCCCTTTTAAATGTTGTGATAGTTGTATATATCAGTAATTTAAATTTCTTTTGTATTTATAAAGAGCCTTGATGAGGATGCTTTTGTCTTGGCATTTGTCTTGGCAATTTGCTCTGAAAGAGCCCTGTATATTAGCTTTAAAATATAATATTTTTTTATTGTGTTATATGGATGTTTGTTTGGTTTACTTACTATTCTCTTGTTTCTTCAGTAAGTTAAATCTTTGGGTTGATATATATTATTGACACAATTTACGATGACATACATATCTCCTCTATAATTTTGAGACAGATATATAGTGAATTTTATATTTAGTGACCTTTAATAAGAATTTTAGTAATAAATAATGCTACTTTCACATTTAGAGATCTTAAAATATAATAGTGTCATTACATCATTATCTTTGATTGTGTCTTCAAGAATTGACCCTTTATTAGCAATCATATCCCTAAATAAAGTCACACGCATGGTCATGACACTGTATAGAAAAAAGAAAAAGGGTAATTTTATAATTTTTGCTTACGCAAAGTCATGACATACTAATTTTTTTTATATCTTTGATGAAGAATGTTTCTTTGATTGAGACAAAGTTATTCAATATATTCTTCAAAGAGAATTTAGTCGGTGCTTCTTTAATAGATGTGACTTATGTTAATGTCAATTAAAGTGATTCATTATTGCTTCCCAATTTTAAATTTATTTCCTTCACTTTTCCATCGGAAATGAAAACTGCTTGATTCTTTTGATGAATATCTTTAAATTTTTTTTATAGTTCTTCATACATGAATCTTTATATTTTTTAACCTTATAATTACCATCAGAGATTGATATTTATAAATTATAATAAATTAATGCTAAACTATTATATTATAGTCTTTTATCAGTTTTATGTGATTTAGTCTTCAGACGATTAACGTATTTATGTATTTTTGTTGCTCTAAGTTATTATTAAAACTATATATAGTTACTGTAATTTATACAATGACATTATTTTTTAGTCTATCATATATTTTTTAAATTTTAATTCCTTAAGTGGATATTTTTAATAAATTGTTATTGCTAGTTGACTACTTTTAGATGCTGAAAAGGGATAATAGACCTTAAAATAGAAGTTAAATTTATATATCTTAATGAAAGAATATTAAATAATTACTTTTTAAGTTTTGAAAATTTAGCTTTTTCGTGATTTTTAACTTTTCAGGGTGTGTTTTGCAGTTTTTAAAACTTGGGGAGCGCTTTTTAAATATTTTAAGTTTTAAGTTGAGTTCTTGTAATTTTTATTTTTTATATGTTGGTGGTGAGTTTTTGAATATCAATATATTTCTTATAACTCTGAAATTTTGACGGTGTTTTTTTAAATTATTGAAAATTTGGGTTGTTTTTTACAAAATTTAAAATTTTAGCGATCTGTTAATAATTTTCAGATTTGATGTGTATTGGTAATAAGTTTTAAAATTTTAGGATTTTTTTTCAATTGTTAAACTTTTGAGGGAGTTTTTTATAATTTATGTAACTTTGAGGTTATTTTTACCAATTTTAAATTTTCAAGTGCTTGATGGTATTCCTTTAAATTCATCAATGCTATTTGCAAGTTTTAAAATTTCATAGTTTTAGAGATTTTTTTTATAATTTAAACTTTTGAGGGTATTTCTTTAAGTTTTGAAACATTAAGATTGTTAATGTCATCACTTTAGTTTCAATTGCAATATTATTTGTATGTACTTTTAAAATAAGTCTATAATTCGTTTAGGATTTGAAGAATAATGTATAAAAATTTATAAATATAAACTAATTTTTATTGTATCATCCATGGAGAATATTTCTTCAACATATCCTTAAAGGGGAACTCTGTTGGTGCTTCTTTGATAGATGTGACTTATGCTAATGCCAATTCAAGTGATTCGTTAACGTTTTTGAATTTTAGGTTTATTTCATTCACTTTTCCATTTGAAATAAAAATAGCTTGATTTCTTTGAAGAATATCTTTGAACTTTCTAATAGTTTCTCCATACATAACTGCTTATTACCCTATAAATATTGTTAACATCAGAGATCAATATTTGTAAATTATAATCAATTAATGCTAAGCCATTATATTACAGTCTTTTATTAGTTTTATATAATTTAGTTTTCTATCAATTAATGGTACTTATATATTTTTACTGCTCCAACTTATTAATAAAATTACATGTAGTTATTTTAATTTATACAACAACGTTAATTTTTAATCTATCATATATTTTTAAATTTGTATTCCTTGACTGGATATTTTAATCTATTGTTATTGCTATATATTACCGGCATCAACTTAGACTACTTTTAAATTCTGAAAAGGGATAATAAATCTTAAATTATAATTTATATTTATATATCTTAATGAAAGAATATCAAACAATTACCATTTTCCTTGCCAATTTAAGCTTTTTATTTTTGTGATTTTCAACTCTTGAGTGTGTATTTTATAATTTTTAAAACTTGGGGAGCATTTTAAAAAATTTTAATTTTAAGTTGGGTGCTTGTAATTTTATATTTCACATTGTTGGTAAGTTTTCAAATGTCGGTATATTTCTTATAACTCTGAAATTTTGAGGATACTTTTTCATTTATTAAAACTTTGGATTATTTTTTTACAAAATTTAAATCTTCAGCAGTCTGCTAATAATTTTCGGATTTGATGTGTACTGGTTGTGATTTTTAACTTTTTAGGGAGTTTTTTGTAATTTTTATAACTTTGATGTTATTTTATATAAATTTTAAATTTTTAGGTGCCTGACGGTAATCCTTTGAATTTCATCTATGTTGTTTGCAAATTTTAAAATTTTACAGTTTTAGAGTGTTTTTTATAATTTAAACTTTTGAGGGCATTTCTACAATTCTTGAAACGTTGAGAATGTTAATAAAAAATTTTAAATTCTTCGGAGGTTATAATTAATTTTTAAATTTCATGTTTGTTATTTTAAGTTTTAAAATGCCTGGGTGTTTTATGTAATTTTAAACTTTTGAGGGAATTTTGTGCAATTGTAAATTTTTTAAATTTTTTTTGTAATACTTCATGTATTATAGTATGTTAGCCATGTATAATTTCTTTACCTTAACAAACTAATGCCATGGAGCTATTTCATGTATTTTATTAATCTTTTTTTTTTTAAAAATTGTTGAGCTATAGCTAGTTTACATGATATTATGATACAATATAAGTATGATTAGGATAGATTAAAATATAAATAAAATATTTAAAATAGTTAAGAGTAATTTTGACCATGAAAAGCTTTTTCGAACTCACGCTTTTAAAGAGGGTATGATATGATAATCAAAACAATGGGAATTCAAAACTTGGCCTCTGCTTCTGTCAAAAATTTTAAAGGTTTTATGAATTTAAAGGTTTTATTTCATAAAACCCAAAGTTTTACCCATTTCATTTTTATTCACCCACTTCTAAAGTTTTTCTTTACCTATTAACCCAAAGCTTTACGACATTAATTTTTGAACCCACGTAATACCAGAATTTTACTAGATGTTTTGTCTATAAACCCAAAATTTTACCTCAATTTGTTTTCAAGCACACCCACTTTTAAATGGCCCTTTGCCTATAAACAAAGTTTTATCCCTATTTATTTTCAAATGTGCCGACTTTCGAAAAGGGCATTCTCTCTATGAACCCAAAGTTCTATCCCCAGTTTTTTTTAAACTCACGCACATCCAAATTACTCTTACACTTGAAACGCTTTATAAAATTAATTTTGAACATACTTAGTGTTTTAGTAGTTTAATATACTATATAAGTTACTTTATTGTTATATAACTTGATTTTTTTTATACGTGATGACATATGCAGTATTTTAAACACAACGCTTAAACTATTATTTTGTTTGATTTTTTCACACTAATATCGCGTCATCTCAAATTATAGATGAACTTTATTTGCTTATAAGCTCAAAATTTTATTCCATTTATTTTACCTATTTCCAAAAAAAAATTATTTGTCCATAGACTAAACATTTAGCCTTATTTAGATTTAAACTCACTTACTTCCAAAATCACTCTTAGACCTAAATATTTAAACAAATTAATATTAAATTCATGTTTTATTTGAGCAATTTGATAGGCAGTGCATGTTGATATATTTTTGCTGTGACCTATCATGCTTTCTCCAAATAATTAGTTATATAATGTATTTTCAAATCAAATGCTTCAACTAATGCCGCGGCATTACGCGGGTCAATTTTGCTTGTTTATCTGTGAGGAACATACACTATACGCAGTAGCCAGTAAGTGAGAGTTGCACCCTTGTTCACATTACCATGACATCAAAGGCTGCCACTTTGGAAGCTAATTCAGACGTAGAATTTTATTCTTTGTGAAATTAGCAACATATTTTATCAGTAAATTTCACAAAACTCCCCTGAAAAATGGGGGTTCCCCACGAAATATCCCTAAACTTTTCCTTCTCCCACCAAACCCTCTGGACTTTGGAACAAAACCCTCTTAAACAATCAAACTCCAACGGGGGAACTCCCTAAACGGTGTTAAGAAATCAACAAGCACTTATTTCCCATGTAGTCAAAATAACGGTCGGCACCATTAACACCATTATTAGGATTTGTTGGGAAAATTTGAAAGTTTAGGGCCGCAATCACTAGTGTCCTTGCTTTGCTATCCTCTCTTTTTCCTTTTTTTAATGTAAAGACAACTCATTTCTCGTCCTGTTGTTGATGTCCCAAACCTCATCCACCACGATGCATTTCTATCATTTTGGTTCATGATGTCACGGCAATCTAGAACAAAATCTTGCTTCAAATTTATGAACCATAAAATTCCAAACAATATTATTTTGTCCTAGAATTCTATTCTCCTTCCCGTGACCAACACCAACCCTCAAATCTCATCACCATGATGAATAATCAATTCTGAGCAACAAATTTGATCAAAGATGAATCATATGAACGATCACTCAAAAGAAATCACCCCCTCAATTCGAAATCTACACACAACTTAATCCGTCTCTAAAGCCTCGCCAGCTTCTATCTCCTCCTCGTCACCGATGTACAAATACTGATTCCTCTCCGCGGGCCTAAAATTAAAAAAAACACGTCCACATGAAACATCAAATTTGCACTCTCCTCCGTCACGGCCACCAGCCACAGATACCCGTAACTTATCAAATCCTCTCATCTCTGACGCGATGTTCCCTGTAAAATATAAATAACCTTCAAGTACAAGATAGAACTGCTTGAAAAGAGTGAGTTTCGGGCTGCCTTTCCATCGGTCTTTGATGCCTCGCGAAGGCTTGGTATTGACCAAAGTAAAGGCACGAAGACGAGGCAGAAGCACACAAGATCAACGAGACTGAAGAGCTGAATCCATGTCAACCAATTATCCAACACAGTTCCCCCTTCGCCGATAATGGCTCTGGCGATATTCACTACCGCTTGAAATGAGATTATCACCATCAGGATGCTCTTGTCTCTCTCCTGCAATACAAAATTCATGAGAACCCAGTTTTCGTTGAAACCTTTATTTTATAAGTGTCAATTGCAGATACACCCACTGCAATAAGATCCATCTGTCTAGATATCATCATATTCATCACCCAGTTGTAGCCCTTGTAGTTGTATTGTTGCAGATAGACCCCTGAGTGATTTTCTCCCCTTTTTACCTTCAAGTAAATATTTTCACTCGGGGAGTCTATCTGCAACAATAGAGAACTATATAGGGTCTATCTGCAATTGGACAATAGTAAGGGAGGCCTATCTACAACTTATTGAAGAGTAAAGGAGTTTGTGTACCTGAAGCCTGAAGGTACGGTTTCAACAAAGACCATCCTGTTTCAATAAGAGCAATGACAGTGAAAAACAGCACGCCTTTGAAGAACTCAAAGACATAGAAAGCAACATCCCAACCATGAGGCATCCCCGTGCTCTGCACGTGCCACAGGTCCTCGGCCGCACATACCATCTTCAGTCCCTTGAACAAGAGCAATGCAGCCATCACCATATGGATTTTTTTTGCTATCGTCCTCTCCTTGTAGCAGACGAACACCACACATGACCCCTAAGAACTAAGAATACACAGTAGATTGTAAAGAAGTTTAAAAGGAGATTACGATGTTTTGTGCTCTTTTTCTATCCAAAACTTACCAAATATAGATGCAGACAACATTTGTGTGGACCAGAGAGAAAATGGTTGAATTTATGATTTTAGGCACATGACTATATATGGAAATACTAATCTTTGCATAATCGTACTTGTTGGGCGTAGAGTCACGCCCTCACGCCGCGGAAGTTATATAACCTGAGAGAAAGTCATGGCTTTTGTTTTCACAAAAGCTCAAGTCAACCTCTATATTCTCGTTTCACAAAGGAAACAAGAACAGAAGTGAAATATCTCAACAAAGTGAGATATACACTCTTCCTCTCAGCAGTTCTAGGACTGAATGTTGAGGGAACCTACAAGCAATAGCCAACTCTTGTTCCAGCTCAACCTCTCATCAGTTCTAGGACTGACTTGTCGAGGGAACCTACAAGCAAAACTAACTCACGGTTAAGACACAAGATTTACGTGGTTCGGCAAACTTGCCTACGTCCACGGGAGGGGGTTTTCACTATGAGGAGAATACCAAACTTATATAACTTACAAGTTCTCTCTTTTCTTTTACTTCTCACTCACTCTCTTTTCCTCCACACTAAAAATCTCTCTTCATCCACTCTATTTATAGGGAGAAAGGAGAGACAACATCCTCCGAAATGTGCTCCATGTTTTGGGGAATGCCCCCCTTGAAACATGAAGACATGCTCCATGTTTTAGGGAATGTCCCCCTTGAAACATGGAGACATGCTCTATGTTTTAGGGAGGGAGTTCATAATTTTTCACCTCATACATCATTTGATAAAGCTTGTGACAGACAAACCCCCGAAACCCTAAGAAAACGCAATACGTAACAAAGAATACAATATACACCAGAGGCAACCATTTTCGCCCAATTGGTAAGTATTGTCTCCTTCCATAGCTATCGACATTGTACACTCTCATTGTGACTTCCACTGAATTTGACAAACAGTTGGCAAAAAAGAGGTTGTATTTATCAGGGTCAGAAATGAGAAGTGTTGTTGGCTGTGGAATTGCGAAGATCTTGGAATGTGAGTAAAATGAGGGAGAAGCTGGTGGGAAGGGGACAGAAGTTGTTGCTGTGATCAGATTCATTGGATAGCTGAAGTCAGAAGAGTCGGAAAGGAGGTAGAAACCAAGGGAGAAGAGGGAGAAATTTTGCGTTTGTGAAGCCCAAGAGACAGAGTTGAGGGAGACAGAGGCAATACCGTTTGAAGAGAAGCCAAATTCTTCGAAGAGAATGCTTGAACAAGCATCAGAAATTATGTTGGTGGTTTTGATTTCAGAGAGAGCAGAGGGAAGGAGAATAGAGAAGACAATAACCAAAAGGGTTGGCCTCAATTCCATGATTGTCAAAAGAAAGTTGACAAGAAATTTTGCAACAGGGAGGCAAAGAAAGCAAAGGGAACAAAACAATACTTTCAGACCGTTTTGAATGGCGAAGGATGGGGAGGGTAGATTAGGATAATTTATCCCCTTCACTTCTGTATCAGAAACTTACCAAATATAGCTATATTGTGGTTCATCCTTACCCAAAATAGCAACATTTGCATGAACAAAAGAAAATGATAATAAAGACATTAAACAAACTGTGTTTCATTGTTCAGTTTATGGTTTCGGATACACGACCTGATACAACTGTCATAATAAGTATATAGCAATAGAACAACATTTGTAATTCCAGATGCTTGTCAAAATATATCACATTCATTATCCAAATTACATGTGTATCCTTACATTTATAGTTGGCTTGAGTATAGATGAAAAAAGAAGTGCAACGAAGTTGAGCAAGTCTGTTGCAAAGATCAAGAATCTTGACTTATTTGATATCACTCTTTGATAATTTGTAAAGGAAAGGTAACAGATAACTTTTCCTAATGTCAAAAAATAACATCTACCATAATAAATTATCCAATATAGATTTACTTGTGGAAGTTGCTCTGTGGCAGAGAGCTCTTCAAGTACTGAGAATCTTTGTAACCTGCATACATTGGAAGATCTAGAGCTTTCTCTGCTATCTTGCCATCCTTATGAATTCTTTCTATCAAGCTATCAAGGGAAGGAAAGTTTGCCTGCAGAAAGGAAGCAGAAGAAAAAGTCACAAGGATTGCACATCTTACGAATCAAATTTCAGTTCTGATATTGGCCATCACCTCTGGTCTTATATAGCCAACAATTACAAGACGCAATTCCTCTCCATAAAAGTCATCTTCAAATTCATGAAGAAGCCATGGTTCCTGTCAAAAGAAAAAAAATGACAAGAGATGTGAAGTGCTTATTTAGGCTGAAAACGCTCCAAAAGAAAAAGAATTTAAGAATAGAGAACTACAATTGTCTTCTCAGTATTATCAAAATAAGGATTCCATCCTATGCTCATGACCATCTTGTATATCCCACGTGTTGAGAGGCCAGCCCAACCAAAGTAGACTCCAGATGTGTGCTCAGAGAGCACATCAGAAAAGTTTTCCGCAGATAAATTAGCTAGATAAAAGTCACAAACAATAGTGTTAATGATGGCAGCAAATATGGGCGGAAATGCTGACAGCAATTTAAAATGGAAAAGGTGGATACCCACTACCCCGAATGTTGTCGGAGGCATGTTTGGAACTGTAACCTTAAAAATATGAAGGCCACTACCTGCTCCGCTTTAGTTTCTCGGTAATATTATCAAAGTTCCCAGTATCAGAAAGCAAAGAACAATTAAAACAAAGATAAGAAAGACAGCCTCGCTGATATAGTTTGCCAGAAGTTTCCTTTGTATTGCTTAACCATCATTACGTATAAGCTATAAATAACCCTCTGAAGTTTCTGATACAAAATAAAGGGGGAGAGAACTTGTCCTTCGCATCGAACTTTCATGCCAAACTTATGTTGGACTCTTCTATAAGTGGGGTATGTATTGATAGTTAAGCTGGACGAAGCAAAATTTTCAAATGTCCTTAAAGATCTCCTTAATCATCATTCTTATCAAATAGCATCACTGCTGCTGCAACAGACTTCTTTAAGGCATGATTTCATATAACTTATGTCAATATAAATATTGGTCATTTATGTGGTTATGCGAATGTGATCCAGATGATCTTGTCATCTTCTAAGTAGGACATGATCTTCCAGTTGGAAGCTTTTGCAGAATTCTAAGGTCAACCGTTAATTAGCCTATACATCTTTGCATTTTCATTTTAATTCGAAGGTGAATTCATTCAATTGAATACAGTAAAGGAACTTGGAAACTTTGAAACCAATCTCAACTATATATTTTGCTTCTCTGAAGGTAAAAACAAGTAAAGAAAAAGGAGGGATGACTGTTAATGAACACTACAAGTGCTTCACTGATTTTAATCCCATTCAAGCATTATTGTTAAAGATTCAGGTCATCACACACTCGGTACATATAAATGATCAAAACAAGCTGCTATTTTGGTGTTAAACATGACAGCAAAAACTATGGGCTAAATAACAGGCTCCATTCACTAGTTAAGGCCCAAACATAACCAACTAAAGCTACACCTTTGCCCCGAAACATTAAATGAAACTTATGCTCATCCTTATATAAGAACGTAAATGTTTCAGGCAATCCTCTGTAGAGCACACAAGTTGTGAAATTCAAAATGGTAGAACTTGTGCTAAATGCAATGACAATGGTTAAAATTGAATAGAAGCTGTGTCTTTTTTCTAAATGCAATGTCTAGAGTCATTAAACTTTGAGATACCTGTTGGTATCCCAAGTACTTTTGAGCCGCGACCAAATCCCTTGATCACAGGTCCCCCAATATACCAGGGCTCAATCGGTAATGTACCTTCAACCCCTGCCATTGAACAACGGTAGTTTCATAAAAATGAGGCAATTGAGAGGATCTCATGTGAACTTATTAATCAGTTGTTGAGGAGCATACAATCTTCAAATGGAGGCAAACCCCAATTTTCAGGGTGCAAATCAAGCAAGGAATTTATAACATCATCTGCTGAACTGTAGAGTCCAGCCTGCTTTGGAAGAGATGGCACCGCAACCCGTAACACCTGGCCTGATATGGTTAGAACAAATCTGAATTAGACTTAACTACTAGCTAAACTGGAGATTAGAGCAGAAACAGAGAGGGAGGTGGTGGACTCTGTTCATCTTCACAGAAGCATTAGGAACAAAGAACTGATGAGAGGGTGTTCTATAAACATGTTACTAGAAGCCCAAAAATGAGAATGAAAAACAGGGACCAACCCTTGGAAGAGGTGAAACAAGATTTGGTTATTTTGGTTGAGAAGAGAATGCTGGTGTGTATCGTGAAGTGGTTTAAAATGTATTTAAACGTCTAGCGAGTGAAGCATTTCAAATGGTTGGATATGGTCTCGAAAAGCACCTCCTATGTATGCCCGTACCTGCGTATTCTTGTATTTGCTTTTTACACAGTTTTAGCAATTCTGTGCTTTTAATCTGCCAAGAACCTTGTGCTATAGCCTATAGATAACTATATGCACAATTAATTGATAATTATACATAATTTTATGTTATGAGGTACGATAGATACATGGTAGGATATGAATCACAAATTCACAATGCAATATATGCTTTGCTTGTAAATCCAAGACATGCCCAGGGAATAGACAATTAATAGTTGGTTTACTTGATTGGCTTATTCTCTGAAAAATGCAATGTAATGGACATAAATGATCTATGGCTTATTCTACCTTGATCAAAAGAACCTGTCTTAATTTCCTCAACCTCGTTCATTAACCCTCTTTTGCTATATATTATAAACAAATGCAAAACTTGAAGCCAATTATTTTTTAGTATTTTCATCATACACTTGTAAAGGTACTTGTACCAACAAGTGATAGCTCGTGTATTTATTTATTTATTTTATATATGGGCTACGTCCATCGCTATAAAGAATAACAGTTTACACCATTCGATTGGAGAACATTCCAATTATAAATTGGAATATTGTTAGACATGGCAGTTGAAACACATTTTTTAATTACAACCCTTCACTCTTCAATTACTCTGAGAAGGAACATAAGTTACGCTAAATCTGCTGCAATAGCATATTATTTGGAGCTTAGAAAGTAACCGCTATAATTTTCTAAGAAGTAAAAAACTCGCTATTAAGAGATGTAGTAGGAGAGAGAAACATACAGCGACTTCGCAGCAGTAAAAAATTTAATGGATAAATGTCAGAAAGAGAAAGAGCCCACATATTAATATTGTCTGGTTAATAAAAATTTAAAGAAGCAGGATCCTTTTAATGGTGCAAAACACAGTAATACTAGATGCATTAAAACTTACACTGAATCCTCAATTACTAGGCAGTTCGAAGGATCAGTCTTCATCCTTTTAGCAGCTTCAAGGAATCTTCAAAAACAAAGACTGGCGTATTTAAACAAATGATAACAGGAACTTCCTCAGAAAGCTTAAATTACAAAACAAACCACATTAACTTATATGCCACTCTCACATTTCAGGAGATGGTTTTCCATTTTGCACTTCATCACCACCAATGATAGCTGAAAAGGATTCTTTCCAATCTGCACAAATTGAGCAGATAGAGAAGCTCCATGAGCACATAAATAGGGGGGAAACAATCATTCCAGAAACTTAATCAGTTATTCCTTTCCATAAACTAACATAATAATTCCAATCTTACCATGATGGTAGGATATTTTTGCTTCAATATTTGATTTAGGAGAGTTTGAAGCCAAAGCCATTGGCACACCATTACTCCTCAGATGATTAATTAATCGATTTGCACCTGGGAGAGGTTTAATATTGCACCATCTGCAATGGCCAGATGCATGGAAACTTTTTACCAGAGGCAAGTGTAATTTGTAACATAAAAGAAGCATTAACAGTGTACTTGCTAATGACGAGATTTGATAAGGTCGATTATATTCTCTCTTTGATTTTTTCTGATTATGTGAGAGATCTGCTGTGTGTGGGTGGGTCGGTGGGGGGCGGGTAGGTGAGGGGTTTGGGACCTTGGGTGATGACCAGAGGTACGCTACTTGTCAGAGATGTGAGGGGTTTGGGACCTTGGGTGATGACCAGAGGTACGCTACTTGTCAGAGACCAGATTATTGATATATGAACCTCACATGAACGTTCACAATAAGTAGAATATGTACAGTTCAATTAGATAAAAAGACAGTGAAATATCCTAATCAGAGTAGATCCACAGTACAACAGTCTGACTGACCCGCGAGAACTTCTTCTTTTTATGGGGTAAAGGATGTCTATGGTGCAAGTGAATTTCGTTACTGTAATAAGACCGAGCCAAACAACATTAGCAAATGTAAGAAGCTCAATTTCAAGTTTATTTTCAAAATTATTGCAACATCATAAGGAATCTACCAGGATCTTCTACTTTTTCCCCTTCTCCCGGTTTTTTTCCCCTGGTGTGTGCACAGTTGAGTGCTCGCGTGCAGGGATATATGATATGCACTTTGTCTAACGTACGCGAATAGAACAAAAAATAATAAATAAACATGTTAGGAATTAAAATTTGAGATAGGAAATTACTGGTCATCAAACATAGGTGTAATTGTAGAAACAAACTCCTCTATCTTACAAGGGAGCTCATAATCTTCCACAATAGCAGTCACAGCTTCCATGGGTGTCTTCCCTACTATTCTCTGAGCTCTTCTCTTATCCCATTTCTTTCCATACTTTACTAGCACAACTTTCATTATTTCATTGACGATGCCATCTGTAATCATAAACCATAGACATAGGAAGGTAGGGAGCAAAAAGCGATAAATGACAAATAGGCATAAAAATGGCGATACCAATTTTAAAGTGAGTTGGAAATATAAAGAGATTCCGAAAAAGTCAAGTACAAGAAAGAATGGTCGCACCTGTATTTAGAAGTGTACCATCCAAATCTAGAATAACATGTGAGACCATTCTACCCAAAGGCTTGGATGCAGCCATAGATAAGGTCAAGTGAACTTTACTGCAGAAATAACTGTGCTACCAATAAAGATCATTAAAACCAAGAAGAAATCACATAAGAAACTATGTCTGCAAGGAAATTTAACTTCAGTTACTTTACATAATAAATAGATGAAGCAGTAAAATCCTTGTTCACCTACAATTTACAGAGATAAACTTCTCAACTCTTCAGTAAATTCTAAAGCAGTAATCAGATTTTGGGAAAGCTCACATGGTCGGCTAAATAAAAAGATTAATGAAAAGGTAAACCGTAAAAGAGTCCTTCAAGATACTATTAGAAATTAACCAAATTTTCATGAAGGGGGATTTCAAATTTTCCAACTTATAATGATCAAAAGTTCCAAATTTGTTACAAGGAACAGAAATTGAGTCGCTTCATATGACTGAAGTATAGCAGCTTCAACCCAGCAACGAGAAATTTTGTGAGAAAAAGTCTCAGAAAACACATACATGGGAAAACTTCCAAAATTTTTCAACTTTATCAACAACCCAGTTATAAAATATACGAATATAGCTAAATCACTTATTCAAAGAATAGAAATTTCGAGCAATGTTCGTTCAGTCATTTTATCAAACACTTGGGAGGACTTCCAAAAATCAGAGTAATAGGCGGAGGTTACAAAGAGAAAGAGAACCGGTAGAGTTGGACTCCCCACCTCCAACAACAACAACCTTTAATAAATAATTAAATAATTAAGAATTGTATTCATCAAATAAATAAATCTTGAACTAGTGCGAAAGATTCTTGTACAAAGTATTTTCTTTTAATATTATATAATGAAAATTGTAAGCAATGCATGTAGAATAGTTTTATGCAATTGATTAGATTTGGATTCAAGTTCCCCATCTTGTGTTATTTAGTTGCGAAGAGAATTGCAAAAGGGAAATTAGGAAAACTTGATGGAGACGTAAAACCCTATAACGTTTATTATGGTGGAAGTTTATCCATCGTTATTGCCACCATCGAAAAAACTTGTAGTCATTTTCCCTGGATTTCGATAATTAATAATTCTTTGAGAAGATAAGTAGTTACAATTTTATGTTGTCTTGGGTCTTACAAACCCTCGTTGATGTTTGTGAAGAGAAAAATAGAAAGAGACATAAGGTTTTCACAAAGCTGTAGCTTAATGGGTTGATGGCACGCATCAACCCAACTTTGGCTGAATGTTTGATGGTGCATTATGTATATGCCGCCATTCTTGTGTTGTGCACTTACTTAAATGTTCCATAATTATGCATGTGTGTCGTACACTTAGCTTGATAAAAGATCCTAACTCAATTGCAAATTAGATGTAAATTCTGAAACCCCCAAAAGATCCTAACTCAATTGCAAATTAGATGTAAATTCTGAAACCCCCAAAAGAAACCCTAAAAGTTGAAAAACAAAAAAATTACTCACTAATTACTGATAATTGTCTTCTCAAGTGCTTCTCCAGCTCTTGTAGGAATCCGAAGAAGTCCAGCGGGTTCAAACACCTTTTGTTTTTTAACCCGATAAGCTATTTACTTCCATTTCTGGGCCTTATCGGGTGACAAGGGAAAATGGGGTTTTTTTCAGTTTCTACCCGTATCCGCCACGATTCTCCAGTGTCGGTCGCGGACTCGTTCCCCACTTTTGCGGAATTACCAGGTTCCATGTACGGATGTACCCGTGTACGTGTCCACACTACGTACCTTGCAACATACACCCAAATTGCTCGCCCTCAGTTATGTCTCTTCGACTTGGACCCCTTTTTTTTCACGCTCAATTGCTCTTTTTTGTCTGATGATGTGATGTACCTCAAGAAATTGCACGGCGGTTGTACGATTATACGCCTCAAAAAGATACTGTGAACAGTGCCGGGGACACCATTTTGGTATCTCGGGTGAACAGTGATAGCGTGTTTCCAGATCCGTTTTGGACCTATTTCGGATCTGTTTTCTTGATATAAATAGGAACATCGTTCTAGGGTTTCTGTAGAGGGTATGCCGGCTGCTAGAGAAGAAAAGACATAGATTTTTTCAGATCTAAAGGTGAGATCTTAAGAAGAGAAAAAGAGAGAGAACTTGAAGGGATTGTACAAGAAAGTGATCATCTTTCTTTGGTAAAATCGAAGTCCCATCTCTTTGGAACGAGTTTGTGGGTTGTACAAGTCGTCGGTGTTCTACATCATAGTGGAATCTCCCTTCACCCCCTCTCGTGGACGTAGATAAGTTTGTCGAACCACGTAAATCTCGTGTTTTCTTTATTGTTTTTTCGTGTATTGGCTACTACTTGTGTTGGTTGGTTTCCTCGATATTCAGATCTAGATCTGATATTGGAAAGAATGTATATCTCACCTCACTGAGGTATTTCACTTTTGTTCTTGTTTCATAGTCAAACAGGAACATCGAGGTTGGCTTTGAGTTTTGTGAAAACAAAAGCCAGGGCTTTCTTTCGAAGTGATTCGCTTCCGCGGTGAGTAGGCGTGTCGGCTCCCAAACAATTGGTATCAGAGCTCTTGTTCAAATTGGGGGTGGTAGAGCTTCTGATTTGAGATGGTGCTTGGTTATTGTGTAGTGCACACAAGATGTTTGTTGAAATTCCTAAGAGAAGCGGATTTACTAAAGCAAGTGGAGAATGACGTCTACCAGTAAAACAGTTAAAGTTAAAAAGTATGAGATTGAAAAGTTCTATGAGAAGAATGATTTTTCTTATTGGAGGATGCAGATGACAAATTCGTTGATTTCACAGAAATTACACAAGGCTTTGGTAGGAAAAGAAAAAAAGCACAAAGATATATCAGATGAGGATTGTGAAGGGTTAGATCCCGAAGCACAAGTCGTTGATTATCCTATGCTTTAAGAGGGATGTCGCTTTCTTAGTGGATGGAGAGGCAACGGCAGCGGATGTGTGGTCAAAGTTAGAGGGTACCTTCATGACGAAGAGTCTAACAAATCGGATCTACTTAAAATCTAAATTATATACTTGCAAGATGGAGGAAGGCTCATCAATCCGGGAGTATATCAACAAGTTCGATAGGATCATATCGGATTTGAAGGACATTGATGTAAAAAATAGAAGATGAGGATCAAGCACTTCTGCTACTTCTTTCTTTATCGAAGTCTTATGAGAACCTAGTACAAACATTGATGTTTGTAGGTGACAATTTAAAGATGGATGAGACTAGAACGACGCTTTTAGTGGATGATCTTTAGAAAATTATAACTAGTGACATGACTACTAGTGGTAACAAGGAGCAGACACATGAACTGTTTGTAAGAGGAAGGAGCAATAAGCGAGGAAAAGGCAAGGAAGGAAAGTCTAGATCGAAATCGAGACTTCTTGCAGGAAGACCATGTTTTAAATGCAGTGAGCTTAGATATTTCAAAGTGTCCTAACAAGAGAGTAGGTGGAAAGAAGAACAACAATAAAACCGAGAGAAGAGAAGGCAAGGAAGAGGCGAGTTATGTCTCGGAAGAAGGGAACGAAAAAAGAATGCTATACTGTTACGTGTGGTGAAGATATCTTCGATAAGTGGATTCTTGATTCGGGTTGCTCTTACTATATGTGTCCAAATAAAAAGTGGTTTACTGCCTATAGGAACATTAATGGTGGCAACATTAATGGTGGAACCGTATTGATGTGGAATAACCATGCTTGTAAAACGGTGGGGTTTGGTGATATCAAAATCAAAATGCATGATAGAGTGGTCAGAATCCTGACGAATGTGAGGCATGTTTCCGACTTGCGAAAGAATCTTATCTCAGTTGGTGCTTTGGACTCTGATGGATGCAAGATAGTTACAGAGAACGGAGTGAAGAAGGCTGTTCGAGGTTCCCTAGTAGTGATGAAGGACATTCGACACGGTAACCTATATACTCTCTCGGGTACTATAGTGACAGTAGATACAGCAGTTGGAACTAATGGAAGTGGTAAATACCCATGTGAGCACACTCGGTTATGACATTCGAGACTTGGGCACATGTCAGAGAAGGGTCTAGATCTGCTTGGTAAGAAAGATTTGCTGAAGAACATGAAGAAACTTTGTATGAATTTTTATGATGATTGTGTGTACGAAAAGGCGCATAGGGTCTAGTTCTTGAAAAGCAAGCACAAGAACATATGTATATTAGACTATGTGCATATAGATATTTAGGGTCCGACTCCGACAACTTCCAATAGCAGTTCCAGGTATTTTATCTCGTTTATAGATGATCATTCCAGGTATGCTTGAGTTTATTTTCTTAAGCATAAGAATGAGGTATTCGAGACGCTCAAGAAGTAAAAAAGCAATGGTTAAGAACAGAATAGGCAGAAAATTAAAGATACTGAGATCTGATAACGGTACAAAGCATACAGCTGGTGCTTTCAAGAAGTTCTATGATCAGGAGCGTATTACTCGACACTGGACAATCAGGTCTACACCACAGTAGAATAGAGTTACAGAGAGACTGAACCGTACATTACGAGAGAAAATAATGAGTATGCGATCATATGCTAGTTTGGACAAAGAATGGTGGGTAGAAGCGCTTACTATAGCTTGTTACATAGTGAATCGTTCTTCACATTCGATATTGGATGGTGATGTACCCTATCGGGTATAGTCAGGGGAGCATGCATATTACGATAGGCTTAGGATTTTCGAATGTACAGCCTACTATCACGTTAACGAGGGAAAGTTTGACGTGAGGGCCAAGAAGGTAATATTCTTGGGGTATGTACAGGGCGTAAAAGGCTATCGCCTTTGGTGTACAGAAGATTTCAAGTTCGTGATCAGCAGAGATGTTACCTTTGATAAAAAATTCATGATAGCTTTATCAAAAGCTAGGGCACCCGAGGATGATGGTGTTGAGACTATTGGGACTTCAAAATCCTAGGTGATTGACATAGAATCTAAGAACTAACCAGGTTCTAGTCGTGTTCAAAAGGAGGATCATGGAGACACTCGGGAAACGAGTGATGACGAGTTTGAATAGAAGGAGGTTCGGCAAGAAAATGTACATGCACTATAATAACAGCAGCTAGAAGACAGTTTAGCTTCCACTAGGCCAAGGCGAGCATACAAGCAGATTCAGAAGCTGGGGTCAGATCAGCCTCTGAAGCATTATGAACAGGTAAATTTGGTTGAGTACGCACTCTTGGTGGAGGATGATGAGTCGGTCACCTTCAAAGAAGCTATTCGGGATAGGAATAGTGAGAGTTGGTTGGTTGCGATGGAGGAAGATATAGAATCTCTCCGAAAAAACCAAACATGGAAGGTGGTCTCATTGCCCTTAGGGAGGAAAGCTATTGGTTGTAAGTGGATGTACAAGAGAAAGGAGGATCTTCCGAGCTCAGTGTTACAAGGTATAATGTTAGACTAGTGGTTAAGGGGTTTGCACAAAGAGAGGGTATGGATTACGATGATATTTTTTCTCTAGTGGTGAAACACACTTCTATTCTGGTGCTATTGAGTATTGTTGCTCATGGTGATTTTGAGCTGGAACAACTTGATGTCAAAATGGCTTTCTTGCACGGAGACTTGGAGGAGGAAATCTATATGCATCAACCTGAGGGTTATAAGGTTGAGGATAATGAGCATCAGGTATGTCGCTTGAAGAAATCACTTTATGGATTGAAATAATCTCCTCGACAATGGTACAAGCGATTTGACTCCTTCATACTAAAGCATGGGTTTTTCAGAAGCGATTATGACTGTTGTGTCCATATTCGGAAGCTTTGTAGAGGTGATTATATCTTCTTCTTTCTTTTGTATGTGGATGACATGCTTATTGCTTCGAGAAGCAAGGTGGAGATAGATAGACTAAAATCTCAACTTGGTAAAGAGTTCGAGATGAAGGACATGGGCGCTACTAAAAAAATATTGGGTATGAAGATTAGAAGAGAACGAGTAAATCAGTGATTATTCTTGAGTTAGAAGGGTTGCATTGAGCGGGTTATCGCAAGGCTTGGGATGCAAAGTGTTAAGTCGGTGGTGATTCTATTGGCTCTACATTTCAGGCTCTCATGTAAATAATCTCCCACTATAGTAGAAAAGAAGGCACACATGAAGCGTGTACCTTATGCTAGTGTACTTGGCAGTTTGACGTACGCAATGGTGTATACACGTCCAGATATTTCACATGCGGTCAGTATTGTCAATGGGTTCATGGCGAATCCGAGAAAGACACATTAAGAAGTAGTGAAATGGGTCTGAGGTACTTGAAGGGTACCGTTGATACGAGTCTATGTTTTGGTGGAGATATGTGGCATATTGATGGGTTTGTAGATATAGATTACGCGAGCGATCTAGATAGACGACAATCTACTATTGGTTATGTGTTCAGAATACATGATGCTCCAGTTAGTTGGCAATCGATATTATAGGCTACAGTGGCACTTTCTGCTACAGAGGCTGAGTATATGATCATGGCAGAGTGAGTAAAGGAAGCATTATGGTTGTGGGGTCTTCTAGATGATTTGGGGATTAAGTAGGATTGCGTGAACTTGTGGGGT